CCTCAGCCTCCCAAGTAGCTGGGATTACAGGCATGGGTCACCACACGAAGCTCTTTTTATTTTTAATTTTTTTTTTTTTTTTCTAGTAGAGACAGGGTTTCACCATGTTGACCAGGCTGGTCTCAAACTCCTGACCTTAGGTGATCCACCTGCCTCGGCCTCCCAGAGTGGTGGGATTGCAGGTGTGAGCCACTGCACCCAGCCCCCTGATACTATTATTAAGACTTTGTGCCACTGCTGTAACTGTCCTTGGCATGTGAGTTTTCTCTTTTCTTTGATTCATGTCCTTCACATGTCAGAACTTAACCAGATATCTTTGCCTTCTTTGGAAGATTTATATTTTTCAAGCCTTTTAACCCTGCAGCTATTTTCAGAACTATTTACGTATCCTACACAAGTGAATTTTGTCTTAACTTTCATGCATTAGCGTTCAAACTACTAACTGCTTTATTAAGAACATTGGTTAAATGTTCTTAGCAAATTTGAGAAATTATGGCTGACTTTTTTTTTTTCCTTTGTGCTCTTCTATATTTTTAAAAATCAGCTGCCTTTACCATTTCCAATACCAAGTTGTATTACCTGAGATTCATGTGGGAAAACTTGGCTTCCTTTTCCTTTTTTTTTTTTTTTTTTTTTTTTTGTTTTTTTTAGTGCCTGTTTTTTGTGTGTTTGTTATTTAAGCGTCAAAGTTTCAAGTATTATAAAGTAAGCATTTGTCAGAAATGTATATAGTATAATCTTACTACAATTAAGCAATCTCAATTATGAGATTAAGAAACTCCAAAAATATTGTGGTCTCCCCCCCCACCACCACCACGTTTCTTGACATGCTCATCTTAATTGAACAATGATAGGATAGTTCTAAGAATAATGATCTAAGGAAAACAGTGGAGATCTAGATATGCCCATGTCTAGACTAAAATCTGTTTAGGCTTAGCAAGCAGGCAGGGTTTGACAAGACAGGCTTCTTTGTGTTTTTATATCTGGAGTAAGACTTGACTTACTTTTCTCTTTAGAATTGATTTGTGAACATTCTGGCACTTCAGGTGTTGTGTGTGGGTGTATGTGGGGTTAAGTCATAGTACCAATATAGACTACCCTTTTTCCATAAGTCAAATTTTCATGTTGTCCTAGTCTGTTCAGGCTGCTGTAATAGACTATCGTAAACTGGGTGGCTTATAAACAACAAAAACATATCTTTCACAGTTCTGGAGACTAGAAAATCCAAGATCAGGGTGCCAGCAGTTTTGATACCTGTTGAGAGCCCAATTCCTCATAGACAGCTGTCTTCTCACTTTAACCTCACATGGCAAAAGGACAAAGGAACTCTCTGGGGACTGTTTTATAAAGGCGTTAATCTCATTCATGAGGGCCCAATCCTTATGACCAAAGGCCCAACCTCCTAATATATTCATCTTGGGGTTTAGGATTTCAACATGTGAATTTGAGGGGGACATTCACATGTTGGGGTTTAGGATTTCAGCGTGAATTTGAGGGGAACATTCGGTCAGTAGCACATATGTTCATGGAATTTAGTTGTGTTTGTGGGGAACGTAAGGGGAATCTGGGGTTGTAAGGGAAAGAATCAGGATGAACATTTTTGTTTGTTGTCTCCCTGTATTTTAGATTGTTGACTACCATTGTTTTTTTGTGTGTGGTTAATTGATGAATATGTGTGGAATGTCTGCCAATATTCTGGTTTCCTTAAACTCGTACAAATAGTAAATGACAAATAAGAATTTTTGGCTAAGTTTATGTATTACCTAGAACAGGAGTTGGCATACTTTTTCTGTAAAAGGCCAGATAGTATAGTATTTTAGGCTTTGCAGATCAAAAAGCAAAATTGAGCATATTGTTACTTACACAAAAAGAGAGAGAAACAAAATTCTCAGTTTTTCCTGGTAAAATTCAAAATGTAATAACAATAATTGAGTACAGTGTTTTGTGAGATAGGTTTACTAATGAGAAGAATGACACTCTTTTGAGGGTAACATTTTGCTTAATTGGGATTCATAGCTAGTCTTCCTTATTAGTCATTTGCAAATGTTCGTTTATGGCTAACTTAAATATTTAATATTTGAAAGTATCTTTTCATGCGTATAGGTATTATTATCTTAAGCAATCCACAAGTGTATGATTTTAGTGAAGTGTATTCATCTTTTAGAAGGTATCTACAGAATTTTGTTAGATTTTTTATGGGGTTTTTTTTTTTTTTTTTTTTTTTTTTTTTTTTTTTCAGATGGAGTCTCGCTCTGTCACCCAGGCTGGAGTGCAGTGGCACGATCTCTGCTCACTGCAAGCTCTGCCTCCCGAGTTCACGCCATTCTCCTGCCTCAGCCTCCCGAGTAGCTGGGACTACAGGCGCCTGCCACCACACCCAGCTAATTTTTTGTATTTTTAGTAGAGGCGGGGTTTCACCGTATTAGCCAGGATGGTATCCATCTCCTGACCTCATGATCCGCCTACCTCAGCCTCCCAAAGTGCTGGGATTACAGATGTGAGCCACCATGCCCGGCGATCTTTTATCTTTTAATTTTTTATGAAGATGGGGGTCTCACTATGTTGCCCAAGCTGGTCTTGAACTGCTAGGCTCAAGTGATCCTCCTACCTCGGCCTCCCAAAGTGCTGAGATTACAGGTGTGAGCCACCACACCTAGCCAGATGATTTTAATATTTACCTTTTGGCATATTACCACTGCAGAGATACCACTTCCACTTCCAGTTGAGAGTTAGATGGAAGCTCCTCAGTTGCACAGTTAAATGGATTTTGAAATAAATTTATTTTGTGCTTACATTGGGGTCTCCAAAACACTTCTGGAATTGTAGCTTGAGCTCAGAAAATGTGTTACAAATTTGTATGGGAATGGAGCTGTCATTACTTTGTCAGCACATGAAGTATATAAAACAGCTTGACATTACATGTGATACGAATGTTATTGTTGAAATGGCTTTACCACAGTGTAAGTTTCATATATAAGTGTTTTTGGCTTTGTTGTTTTAGGATGAATTCATTAAGAAACATTATCAAGTCTGCAGGAAACACTAATTTTCCAAGCTATTCATTGTTTGATAATAGTAACAGAGCAGTTCTCACGCAGAAAAAAAATTCCATCTTTGCCTTGAGCACAACAAATCACAATAAAACTTTACCAATATTAGCCCATCAAAATGCTGTGTGGTAGAGCAAGACAAGATTTCTGACAAAAATTCATGGAACTTGAACTTAAACCGAGTTCGTAAGAGAGAAGTTCATCATTAGTGCTACTGGTTCAGTAACATGATAGATTGAAATATTTTCTTCAGATCACCTGCTGATGAGTAATAAAATAAATAACCATAAACGTTAAGTACCTTACATTTTCATAAACTTGGTAAATTTGTCCAACTAGATCTTTTTCCATTCCATATGTATTTTTACCATTCCAGTAGTAACATATCTTACTATCAGATTCTGCTTCAGGTTGTGCTGAATTAGAGTTTTCTCAGCTTTGAAAATATTCTCACCTATGATTATTTCATGTAGACTACACATAGAGGCTACTTCGGCAGTTCAAACTCCTTGAATAATCAACACTTGGTTCTTTGAATAAACAATAACTTTTAAGTAGTATCAGTTACATTTTGTCAACAAATCAAGAGCCAAAGAGAGAACCACTCCATCATTTACCTTATTTTTCAGTTGATTAGTGACGTTGCTTTCAATATTCCCAACTTTTTGGACCACTGTACTCAACAAAATTCCAATATTACATTTATTTTCTCTGGACACAGTTCTTCAGCTTCTGCACTCAAACATAATTTCACTAACTCACCATCAATAAACAGCTTTCCTTGCTTAGCCAATAAATGAGCCGCTTGGAAATTTACTTTGACTGAAGCCTCATTTTTATTTTTGTGAAGAAATATTTTGTGATGAGATTTCACTTTAAATTTTCTAACTTTTTAAACTGTAGCTTTCCTGTGAATTGGGAATATTGTCACTAGTGTTTAATAGTGTCAGTATATATTGTATTTAGTATATAGTCTTTTGCATAATCATGCATTCTTTGCCATCTAATCTGATTTTTGAAAAATCCATCCTCTGCTGCACCTTTAAGCACGACATTCAGAGTCCACTTTTCTCTTTGTTTGAGATGATGAGCGTGTACTCAGTTTTTTTTAATGTCACACTATGAAAGCACTTGAAATGCTGTCGTTTTAACTACATCATTGCAACTTGGAGTGCACAGCGCAGCAGTCCAAAGCAATGGAAGTGCCACATAACAGTCTCAAAACTGCTCAACTCTGCCATTGTAGCACAGAAGCAGACATAGATAACATGTAAATGAATGTGTATAGCTGCGTTCCAGTAAAACTTTATGAACACTAAAATGTGAATTTTGTATGTCACAAGTTAGTATCTAAAAACCATTCTTAGATTGCAAGGAGAATAAAAATATGCAGCATGAGGCTGGGTGCGGTGGCTCATACCTGTAATCCCAGCACTTTGGGAGGCCAAGGAGGCCGGGTCACTTGAGGTCAGAAGGTTGAGACCAGACCGGCCAACATGGTGAAACCCTGTCTCTACTAAAAATACAAAAATTAGCTGGGTGTGGTGGCAGGTGCCTGTCGTCCCAGCTACTTCGGGAGGCTGAGGCAGAGAATCACTTGAACCTGGGAGGTGGAGGTTGCAGTAAGCCGAGATCACACCACTGCACTCTAGCCTGGTTGAGAGAGCAAGGCTCCATCTCAAAAAAAAAAACAAAAAATACCACAGTATGTCTGGATTTGGCCCAAGGGCTTTAGTTCGCCAACCCTGTCTGGCTCAAGGGCTGTAGTTTGCCAACCGTTGACCTACTCTTAATATAACAGTGCTTTTTAGGAGTTTTTGTTAGGAAATTTCATTTGAGGTCTGAAAATCCACGTCTAGACCTACATTCTGGATTTTTACATAATTAAAACTGTTGTATAGAATGCATAGCGACTTTTATTTTCAAGATTAGTCTCCTTTCTCTTTTCAGGTAATTTTCCACTTGTTCATCAATATGGAAAACTCAGATTCTAACGACAAAGGAAGTGGTGATCAGTCTGCAGCACAGCGCAGAAGTCAGATGGACCGATTGGATCGGGAAGAAGCTTTCTATCAATTTGTAAATAACCTGAGTGAAGAAGATTATAGGCTTATGAGAGATAACAATTTGCTAGGCACCCCAGGTATGCTTACATATATTTAAGGATTTATTTTTTTTTTTTTTTTTTTTTTATTTTTTTGAGACGGAGTCTCGCTCTGTCGCCCAGGCTGGAGCGCAGTGGCCGGATCTCGGCTCACTGCAAGCTCCGCCTCCCGGGTTCACACCATTCTCCTGCCTCAGCCTCCCGAGTAGCTGGGACTACAGGCGCCCGCCACCTCGCCCGGCTAGTTTTTTGTATTTTTTAGTAGAGATGGGGTTTCACCGTGTTAGCCAGGATGGTCTCGATCTCCTGACCTCGTGATCCACCCGTCTCAGCCTCCCAAAGTGCTGGGATTACAGGCTTGAGCCACCGCGCCCGGCCTATTTAAGGATTTATAAATGTAAATTGCTGGTTTAAAAAAAAATACCTGAACCTGTTTTAAAAATCCATTTCTTTAGCCATTATGAAATATTATTTAATATAAGGGATATGGAATGACATTTATTGCTGTATTTATTACCTGATTGTATTTACTCATGTTTGGAATTATACTATATCAGAGAGATTTTTAACTTATGAATTATAATATGAATTTTTAGTGTTCTTAGTTAGCTTTATCTAACTTACTAGATAAAAATCCGAGTATAGAATAGCTAATGGGAACTTAGTTTTTAGGAAGGACTTATTCTATTTTGTTAAATCTCTGATTTTTTGAATATGTCCCAGTTGTAATACTCCAGAGCTAGCCTTGGGTAACATAGCAATTAGAAGTTTGTGCTTGATTATCTTTTACCCCACGAAGTCCCATTTGATCCTAGTTAAAACTCAGTGTCTGTCTTCCTCCTCATTTCTGTTTAATTCTACTTACCTTTGAGTAATTGCTTAGATTTTAAAAGGTAAGGTTTTTGCATGACTTTTAAGAGAGGGAGTGTGTTTTGAGCCAACAGTACCAGGCTTGAATCAGAATGCCTTAGTTGGAGTTCTGGCCCTGCTGTTTGGTGTGGCTTCTGGCAAGCCAGTCTATCACTCAGTCTGTTTCTTCATTTTAAAATGCAGATAACAATATCTTCCTCTCAAAGCCTCAATTCTTAAAAATTACTTACTTATTTACTTTTAAGACAGGGTCTCATTATGTTGCCCTGGCTGGACTCAAGGGATTCTTCTGCCTGAGTCTCCCAACCTAACAAGCCGGCACTACAGATGCAGTACCACTGTGTGCCCAGCTTAGAATTGCCTTTGCCTTTTTTTTTAAGCGGAGTCTTGCTCCATCACCCAGGCTGGAGTGCAGTGGTGCAGTCCCAGCTCACTGCAACCTCTGCCTCCCAGGTTCAAGTGACCCTGCTCCTCAGTCTCCTAAGTAGCTGGAATTACAGGCGCCCACCACCACGCCTGCCTAATTTTTGTATTTTTAGTAGAGATGGGGTTTCGCCATGTTGGCCAGGCTGGTCATGAACTCCTGACCTCTGGTGATCCACTTGCCTCGGCCTCCCAAAGTGCTGGGAGTACAGGCGTGAGCCACCATGCCTGGCCTAGAGTTGCAATTTTTAAAAGTTAGATCTTATATGTAAAAGAACTTTGTAAATTGCTTGTAATATGTTTCCAAAGAAGTGAATTTTTCCCGGGTCCTACCTACTCCTTGGTTTTTCTCTCAGAGAGTTGGGAGCCACTGGTTTTCTTTTTTCTTTCTTTTTTTTTTTTTTTTTTTACGTTTTCTCTTAACTTTTAAAAATATGATTTTTTTCTAATCATCTTGTGTGAGATTACTATGAATCACTGATAAAGTATTTGATTGTCATACCCCTAATGTCATTTTTGCCCTGTGGTGTTAAATTTCAGGTGAAAGTACTGAGGAAGAGTTGCTGAGAAGACTACAGCAAATTAAAGAAGGCCCACCACCGCAAAACTCAGATGAAAATAGAGGTATATTTTGGTTTTGGTGGGGAGGTGGATAGATGATAGAATGATAGGAGCTTTGTAATAGTAAATGTCAGCCAAAGATTATCTAAATTTGGCACAAATTAATTTGGTGCTAAGTAACTGCTCATAAAAAGAAAACTGACATTTTCTTATACTTAGTGAGAATGTCAGCATTTTTTTTCTCTCTCACCTTTGGGATGTTTATGTTAATTGGAACACAGTGAGAAATGGCCTATTTAAATGTGATTTTGTTTGTTTTTCACCTCCATTGAAATTTATTCCTACTTAATTCCTTCTTTGTAAACATGCGACTTCTTCACCAGCAAAAAGAAATGTCTAAACCCAGTGGCTCCTAATGAGATATAATTTTGTCCCATGTGGGACATTAGCAACGTCTGGAGACATTTGTGTAGAGGGCAGGAATGCTGCCAAACATCCTGACATGCCATAATGCACAACACAGCCCCCATGACACAGAATTAACTGGCTTAAAATGTCAGGTAGTACCACTGTTGAGAAATCCTGCTCTAATCTCAGGTCTGGTGTTTCCCTCCCAGTGTCGAGTAGGGATTTTGACTGTGTAACCTGAGAGGCTACGATAATAATTTGGTTCTTGAGCATGCCAGTGTATGTGCTATGCAAGGTTCAGACTACTTATTTGATCTGATCTTTAATGTCATGTCCATTGAAAACCTTGGTAACTTTAAGAAATATGCAAATGCTTTTAAACCTATAAATCTTGTTTGTATTTTTCTTATGGCTACAATAAGTAGTCCTGTATTTTAAAACAACCTCAAATGTTATCGAAGGCACAGTATGTAGACTAATAAAAATTTGGCAGAAATGTAGCTTGAACTAAATGTGACTATTCGTTAAACACTGTCTCCTTACCTCATCTGATTACATTAGTGTTTTGGCAGAGGACTGAAAAAATGTCTTCTGGCCATCCCACAGTGGTATGCTTGGCCTTTATATGATAAAATACTGGAAATAGACTTCCTCTAGATTCCCTTTAAAAATCAAATAATTCTCTAAATTTCTGTAATATAGATTGCTCTTTTCAAATGGAATTAGAATTTTCTTGCCTTATAAGTTTATGCAGTGTAGTTTGTAAAAATTTGTAATTATGAAATGTGTTCCGAATTTTTAAATTCTTTAATGCAGAGTTTTAGAGCACTTATTATATTATTGTCCTCATTTTAGTAGTTCCTTTTTCTCCCTCTCCCCCTCCTTTGTTTTGAACAGGAGGAGACTCTTCAGATGATGTGTCTAATGGTGACTCTATAATAGACTGGCTAAACTCTGTCAGACAAACTGGAAATACAACAAGAAGTGGACAAAGAGGAAACCAATCTTGGAGAGCAGTGAGCCGGACTAATCCAAACAGTGGTGATTTCAGATTCAGTTTAGAGATAAATGTTAATCGTAATAATGGGAGCCAAAATTCAGAGAATGAAAATGAGCCATCTGCAAGACGTTCTAGTGGAGAAAATGTGGAAAACAACAGCCAAAGGCAAGTGGAAAATCCACGATCTGAATCAACATCTACAAGGCCATCTAGATCAGAACGAAATTCAACTGAAGCATTAACGGAGGTCCCACCTACTAGAGGTCAGAGGAGGGCAAGAAGCAGGAGCCCAGACCATCGGAGAACCAGAGCAAGAGCTGAGAGAAGTAGGTCACCTCTGCATCCAATGAGTGAAATTCCACGAAGATCTCATCATAGTATCTCATCTCAGACTTTTGAACATCCTTTGGTAAATGAGACGGAGGGAAGTTCTAGAACCCGGCACCATGTGACATTGAGACAGCAAATATCTGGGCCTGAGTTGCTAAGTAGAGGTCTTTTTGCAGCTTCTGGGACAAGAAATGCCTCTCAAGGAGCAGGTTCTTCGGACACAGCTGCCAGTGGTGAATCTACAGGATCAGGACAGAGACCTCCAACCATAGTCCTTGATCTTCAAGTAAGAAGAGTTCGTCCTGGAGAATATCGGCAGAGAGATAGCATAGCCAGCAGAACTCGGTCTAGGTCTCAGACGCCAAACAACACTGTCACCTATGAAAGTGAACGAGGAGGTTTTAGGCGTACGTTTTCACGTTCTGAGCGGGCAGGTGTGAGAACCTATGTCAGTACCATCAGAATTCCCATTCGTAGAATCTTAAATACTGGTTTAAGTGAGACTACATCTGTTGCAATTCAGACCATGTTAAGGCAGATAATGACAGGTTTTGGTGAGTTAAGCTATTTTATGTACAGTGATAGCGACTCAGAGCCTACTGGCTCAGTCCCCAGTCGAAATATGGAAAGGGCAGAGTCACGGAGTGGAAGAGGGGGTTCTGGTGGTGGTAGTAGTTCTGGTTCCAGTTCGAGCTCCAGTTCGAGCTCCAGTTCGAGTTCCAGTTCGAGTTCCAGTTCCAGTCCTAGTTCCAGTTCCGGTGGTGAAAGTTCAGAAGCTAGCTCAGATTTATTTGAAGGCAGTAATGAAGGAAGCTCATCATCAGGCTCATCAGGTGCCAGGCGAGAGGGTCGACATAGGGCCCCAGTCACATTTGATGAAAGTGGCTCTTTGCCCTTCCTTAGCCTGGCTCAGTTTTTCCTCTTAAATGAGGATGATGATGACCAGCCTAGAGGACTCACCAAAGAACAGATTGACAACTTGGCAATGAGAAGTTTTGGTGAAAATGATGCATTAAAAACCTGTAGTGTTTGCATTACAGAATATACAGAAGGCAACAAACTTCGTAAACTACCTTGTTCCCATGAGTACCATGTCCACTGCATCGATCGCTGGTTATCTGAGAATTCTACCTGTCCTATTTGTCGCAGAGCAGTCTTAGCTTCTGGGAACAGAGAAAGTGTTGTGTAATTAAGATCTGAACTCTCAGCTATGTAGCTGATATAGTGATGGGCAAACAGGAATCACTTGCTTTTATGTCCACTTTTTGAGTGGTACTTAAATGTAAAGTAACAACCTGAATTGAGTCATTGCTTTCTGAAGGAATCATTGTCCTTTCTCCAGTTTTTGTTCCAGAATAAAAGGAAATATTTTAAAAGCCACGTTTTAGGACCTAAAAATCTGATTTCTGTACCAGTTAAATTGGTAGCATCACTGTTACTGTTAATTTATCATATACACTCGTTAATTTTTCCTTTGTTATCTTAAAAGATCTGCCTTAGCAATGGCTCCTGTTTCATGTTGATCTTTAAATTTTCCCACGCCATAAGCGAGAGGAGCGAAGGAAATTACCAGTTTAGACTAAGTTACAGTATGTGTTTCATAAGTGATTAAAGCTATACCATTCCCAGTTATTAGTTGACACAAATTCAGCCACATTCTGAATATTGTTTGTTCACCTTTCAGACTTGGTGATACTGGACATGTCAGTGTAAATAACACTAAGGTTAGGATCTTCTAAGTGTACAACTGTCTCCTAAGCCCATCACTGTGGCACACTGTAGAGTGAGCTTATAGTTTAATTGAGATATTTATCTTGTGGAAATATTAAAAAGCCTATGCTTGTGTAAGTGAAAAAAAAAATCACATTCATTTGTTTAAAAATGTAAAGCTATTTTGTAGAGGCTCAGTACTTTTCCAATGCACTGTTGTATGAATGCATTAAAAATTGTAAAGTACCATGCTTAGAACTGAGAAAACTGCTTTTTGTGAGCCAACATAGTAACAAACACACCAAACAAAGTACAAAGCTGCTTTTGTAAGTGTGTAAATGTCAAGAGCAGAACATATCTATAATATTTAATGTATGTGAACAGCTACTGTGACATGCAAAGGAAAGGACAGTGCAGAATCAAACTGTGTTGAAGACCAGTGGAAATCGTATAATTTAACTTGGATTTAGGCAGGAAGTGAAAGATGGGAGGAATAAAGAAAACAGCTCTGGAGGATTTAAAAGTTTTCCTGAAGACAGTAATAATGCAGACACAAACTGGTTTCATATGGTGAGAGCAGCCGCAGCAGCAGCTTGACCTGGTATTCTACCTGAGTAGATGAAGCAGAAGATCAGCAAATTTGGCAGAGTTCTGGTTTAAGAAAAACCACTACCACCTAGCACAAGTTAAATTGATGTTTTTACAAGTCTGCTCCTCAAAAATGAAAAGATGGAGGAAAGAGACTATAAAACCACTTGTAGCATATGAAATGCAGTTGGTACACATGTGTGTGTTAATAGGAAAGTCTCGAATTTGTGTTATTTTTGAGATTTGTCATTTAAGGTACCATTGCACACTTGATAATATTTCATTACTATCTCTAACACAGACCTAACATCTCGAATTTAAAGACCAGTTGAAGATTAAGGGATTTTTATCCTTTGTTGAAAGTGAGTCATGTTGGGTTATTTGAAATTCAAGTTTTAATTGTGCTGCCCATATATGAAAATGAGACTGCTGACTCACTATCTATGGACATGCACTTTATGTTGGTTTCTTAGTAGTAAGAGTAACTTCATGATAACCCCAGTCCTCTTGCCTAGTTTCTTTTTTGAGGCTAGCTGGGGTTAGGATTAGAATGACTATGGAGCAGGTATTTATTCTTCTGGGAAAAGCTTTAACAGGCCAAAATAGGGATTGAACTTGTCCTTGGCCTTTATCAAAGCAAGCTAGCTACCCAGACATAGTCAGATACTCTACAAAATAAACAAGTCTGCTTTAGGAATTGTCTGGCTACCTTCACTGTTATCAACTTAGCTGTAAAGATATTTCAAAGCTCACTCTTTCATGATTTCTTCTGGCTTTCAATCCTACCTAAGTATCAAGGAAATTAACTTGTAAATATGGTAGTTGTTTACTAAGGATATGTACTGCTCTTGCAAGGAAATAATGTCCAAACAAAGCTTCACTTATTTTTTTTATAAGCAGATTTCACTGTTTATGGCGCTTATGTAATACATTTTATCTTTTTAAAAATGTGTCCGTGTAAAGTCAGGATTCCTTTATATTTGTGAGCCTCCTTTTCTCCTTTCCTAAGGATGTAATCTACAGTTTTCAGATCTGCAGGGTAGTCTTGATTGGCTAAAAACAAATCAGTTTTCTTCTTGGCATAAAGTGTTTCATTATTATAGGGGTGTTCATTTTAAATAGTTTAAAAACAATTGCAGCACATTCTAAGCATAAAAGAAAGTTATTGACAACAGATACCTTCCTAACCTCCCAAGATGTACAACTCATTTGTGAAGTATTAAAATAAGAGGTAACTCAAGCAGAATGCTGGCTATGAATGTAGATATTGAAGCTATTCATAAACACTGGAAATAGAATTTTAAGCTTGTAGCCTTCAGTGGAATGCACACATTGGACATGTGCATGTGAACACCTTTTTCAATAGCACTCACGGATTTCCATTCGATTGTATAGAATGAATACAAGTATTTTAGTGGAATTTGCTACTTAATTTTTTAATCTTGCGATGTCCATGATTATTACATGCTTACTGGTATTGTGGACATTGAAGACAAGGTCATTCGTAGGTGTCAGATTACGGTGGAGAACAAAAATCGTTTTCCCCCCACCAGCATCCAATCACCATTCTCGAGGGAACATTTCTTGCAGAACACCTTATATTTCATTTTCTGTCTTTGCACTTTTTCTTAAGTACAGAAATGTTGTCTTTAAGACCTAGTTTGAACTTCATGCAGTAAGAGGAACAAGGATAAACAATGTTGGGAGTTCACATTGTTCAAAGCATAGGGAAAAGTACCAAAACCCAAATTTTCTTGAATATTTCAGATGTTTTTAAAAATTCACTTACTAGTCTGAAATGTTTGAAGTGTTTTAACTGAGCAGCTGACAAAGTTGAGGTTTTTTTGTTTTGTTTTGTTTTTTGAGACAGAGTCTCACTTGGTCACCCAGGATGAAGTGCAATGGAGCGATCTCGGTTCACTGCAACCTCCACCTCCTGGGTTCAAGCAATTCTCCTGCCTCAGCCTCCTGAGTAGCTGGGATTACAGGTGCGTGCCACCACACCTGGCTAGTTTTTGTGTTTTTAGTAGAGATGGGGATTTCACCATATTGGCCAGGCTGGTCTTGAACTCCTGACCTGAAGTGATCTGCCTGCCTCAGTCTCCCAAAATGCTGGGATTACAGGCATAAGCCACCATGTGCGGCCAAAGTTGAGGTTTATTAGTACTATTAGAAACAAAGTTGAGCAAGATAAGTTAAAAGTTTGCAGACTTTGTATCAGCACTATAGAAGATGAGCCACCTTGTTAATTTGGAATATTTCTCTAAAAAGAACATGTAAGTTATACCTCAATGGTGTTAATGGAGGTGAGAATTGAGAAAAGTGTTCACATTAGTGTTGGAATGTAGGTAATTACACAGTTCATAAGAAAACCTTCACCAGGAAATAAAATATGTGTGTGTACACACACACAGTTTTTTAAAATGATTATTGGAATTCATCCAAACCTTAAGATAGGAAACTGGTTGGCTGTAAGTGTTGCCTCAAGTAATGTGTCTCCCTCCCCTGGAATAACATGTCTTTTCTGTGCCAAGTATCCTCTCCTAGTGTCAGTGTCTCAAATTATATTTATGGAGGGTTGTCACATAATATGCTTTGTATTTAACTACCTGCTTCCCGAGCGTCCATGACATGAAATGGATCAGGCATCAGCCATGACTTTCAGTCAGTTCCCAAAATACCCATATGATAGGGAGGTAAAGATTGCAAAATTCCTCTTAAAAGGCCATTTTTACAGCTTGCTAAAATATAGTGGCACCTTGTGGTTGTTAATATTTTTTCTTTTAAAGATGGAGAATGTTTTTATTCTTCCCCTTTTCTCCTTTGTTCTTTTGCGAACAAAAAAATTTATAATCTGCCTTATTTGATTTTTTTTTTAAGTTTTACCTTACAGGCTTCCCTGTCACGTGTTTTACCATATTAAGTACATAGAAGCCATGTTTGCAGGGCACTTTTATTCTCCTAGTCTTATAAGACTATGCTGATTGTTACTTTCTGAAGTATTCTGTACCTTAGTATGCAAGATTGTTAAGGCACATGTTAAAGTGTCAGGTGTGTTTTTTTTTCCTTTAATTCTTCAGTATGTTTATATTCAATAACAGTATTGTAATTCATTGAATTAACTAGTAAATTGTGTGCTTTTGAAAAAACATGAAAAATGTAAATTGACAGCATACTTCATTTGGAAAAAAGTAAAAGATCAGAGGAACTAGTATGTCACTTATTTATTTTTATTTTATTTTATTTTTTACTTTTTGAGACAGGGTCTTGCTCTGTCACCCAGCCTGGAGTGCAGTGGCATGGTCACGGCTCACTGCAGCCTTGACTTCCTGGGCTCAGGTGATTCTCCCACCTCAGCCTTCCAAGTAGCTGGGACTACAGGCATGCACCACATCACCTGGCTAATTTTTTGTGGAGATGGGGTCTCGCCATCTTGTCCAGGCTGTTCTTGAACTCCTGGGCTCAGGCAATTCGCCTGCCTCATTTTCCCAAAGTGCTGGGATTATAGGCATGAGCCACTGCGCCCAGCCTTACTTATTTTTAAGTCAGATTTTTTAATCAACTAAAACAGCTGTGAGTTAAGTACCTGCCCTGCAAAAATTTTTAGGATTATGAAATTAAGAATTATTTTCCTTAACTGGAACAGTTCTAAAATTTATCTGATACTCCTCTAACAAGTGAGTGATCTCATTTAAGTAACCCCAGTTTGTATCTTAAAGGCTACAGCATGGAATTGAACTGTTTAACAGTGTTAGAACTGTCAAGTGATAATCACAGAACAGTTTGTATTGGTTTTATAATTCTCATGTCTTGATCAAATCTGAAGGAACTAGGCATACCCTCCAACACTCTAAAAATTAGTGAGATATTTATTTTTATTAGGATTTGTTTATTAAAGTTCCACAAGCTGCTTTATGGTCAGTTGGGCTGAGTAGTAGATATCTTAAAGACATGCAGTGAAAGTGAACCCTGTCATACCATGGTGCCTCTTGATTTCAAGGTTCCTCTATAAGTTCTTCATCATGCAGAATTATTTCAATACCAAGGTATGGGTGAACCAGCTGTCCAGCCTTAACTCTATTTAGTGCCCCATTACTAATGTTCTTTTAACTGGTTTGTATGTGTTTTAACTGTCCAGTGTTTGGATTTTACCTCTTGATAGCTCCATTTGTCCCTGGTGCTGCTTTTAAGGATGTAGGGCCATGTGATCAGGTATCAAGTTGAGTAGGTACGCAGTTGGCTTATTGATGTATCTGTGCCTGTTTTATCTTCTCCCAGGAAGAGCTGCTTTGGTATAGTTGTTTACTTGGATTCATACAAAGAACAGGGCAGCAATCTTGGAAAGCTTTCTGAAGCTTTTAAGAACCTGAAGGGATTTGGAGGGGGAACAGTAACAAAGGCTGCCTTTATGTCTTTGGACACAAAGCACATAGATGTATGTTCTGTAAAGACTAAAGTGATTGTTACACCAGGGCTTCCTGACCTTCGGGAGAGACTCAAAAAAGCAGAGAGGAGCACAAAGTGAAGTTAATTTGGTTGGTTTGCTTTATCTGATTTCTCATTTTCTTTCAATTTAAACCTGAACATAACACCCTTCTCCAATATTTATCCAGCAGACTCCTGGTTGGGAAGCCCTGTATTAAATTTTGAGAATGTACACAGTTTTCTTTTGTACAGTGCTTTACACCTGCTAAAAGTTAACTTGTTTAATGCAAAACAAGACCTTGAAAGGTCAATCATATTAAAGCTGGTTTGATTATTAATAGTTATCTTTTAGGAAGAAGCTTTTTTCCCTATGTAAGATGTCATACTACAGATTTAAAATATAGACTATCAATAAAATGCATGAAGTGATCATTTGTGCTTGATCATCTCTCCTTGGGTTTTTCTTTAAAAAGGGGAATCTGCTATAAAGGTTCTGTTGCTTCAAACCAATGTCAAATAGACTTGATTTTTAGATTCAAATGGAATTACAGTGCAACCTTGAGTTTTATTCCCCTCACTGCTATAAGTGTGGGCAGGTACTGGTTTATATGTTATAACTTCTGTTTTATCTGTGTTGTGTAGTTGAATGGCTTAATCGTTGAGTGGTAAAATAAAAGACTATATTCCAATACAAGAATCCTGGAAAGATTTATGTGAATGACATTTTAAGTAGGTGCACCTTTGCTGTTTCTTGTATTCTTGCTATTGCTCTGACAACTCCCTTGCTTGCCCTCTATATATACAAAAACTTGTAGGTGTGCACATGTGTTTGTACTTCTGTCTTCCATTTCTATCTTCAACCTCTTTTTTTTTGAGACGGAGTCACTCTGTCGCCCAGGCTAGAGAGCAGTGGCGCGATCTCGGCTCACTGCCAGCTCCGCCTCTCGGGTTCACGCCATTCTCCTGCCTCAGCCTTCCGAGTAGCGGGACTACAGGCGCCCACCATGACGTCCGGCTAATTTTTTGTATTTTTAGTAGAGACGGGGTTTCACTGTGTTAGCCAGAATGGTCTCAGTCTCCTGACGTCGTGATCCGCCCGCCTCGGCCTTCCAAAGTGCTGGGATTACAGGCGTGAGCCACTGTGCCTGGCCCTATCTTCAACCTCTTAAACATAATTGCTTAAGCCACTAAGATTTCCTTGTTTCAAGTAAATCATCTCATTGTGATACCTGGTGTATTTTTTTATAGTTTCATTTCCTCTGGAACTATAGCAGAGCCATCTGTCATTGGCATCATAACTCAGTTTCTCAGGATAGTTTTGATGTAGTCAGCTCTTCAACTCATGACCTTCCCAGGATTTTAAGTTTAGTGTCATTCATGATTTTATTATTTGAAACTCAGTACCACCACCAAAAAGTTTGTGCTCTAGACGGTGAAGCCAAAGCACAGGCATCTTTGGTCAGTGAAAAGGATTCAGACATAAATTAGCCAGGTGTGGTGGTGCACGGCTGTGGTCCCAGCTACTCGGGAGGCTGAGGTGGTAGAATCACTTTAGCCCGGGAAGTCAAGGCTGCAGTGAGCTGTGATCACGCTGTTGCACTCCAGCCCGGGTGACAGAGCGAAACCTTGTCTCAAAAAAAAGGCCCCAGATACCTAGAAAAGAGGATTCGATAAATCTGGGTGGATTATAAACTGAACTCTTATAATGGTCATTTTAAAAAATAAGAAAGCAAGTCCAGTTTATTTGAGGTCTTTGAATTTAGACAAGATTTAACTATAAGACCTTTTATGGATTACTAATAACTATATTTAAATTAGCTAAATTTTTCTGGTTGCTGTTAGGCATTGTATTAAGTACTCTATATAAATTATTTAATCATCACAGTGACTGAGGTGAAAGTATGCCACCCATTTTATAGGTAATGAAGCTGAGATACAGATGTTTGTTAATTTGCCCAGGTCACATAGTAAGTAGCAGATTATTTGCAATCATCTTTGATGCAGAGTTATCTTCCTTGTGCTCTTAATCCCACTACTATGTGTAATATTTATCCCAAGCTCTAGACTAGACTGCTTATGAGGTGTAATTTCTTAGAATAAACATCAGTTTTAGCTGGTTTGCCAAGAAAAAAAAGGCCAAATCGGTTTTTGTTTGTTTGTTTTTTTGAGACGGAGTCTCGCCCTGTTGCCCAGGCTGGAGTGCAATGGTGTGATCTTGGCTCACTGCAACCTCCGCCTCTGGGTTCAAACGATTCTCCTGCCTCAGCCTCCCGAGTAGCTGGGATTACAGGCACCTACTACCATGCCCAGCTTATTTTTGTATTTTTAGTAGAGACAGGGTTTTACCGTGTTGGCCAGGCTGGTCTCGAACCCCTGATCCCATGATCTGCCCGCCTCAGCCTCCCAAAGTAGTGGTATTACAGGCGTGAGCCATCGCGCCCGGCTGCAATTTTTTTTTTTTTTTTTTTTTTTTTTTTTGGAGGATTAATGGTAATATAGTGTAAATTCAGTAAGGCACTGGGCATTACCAGATACACACACCTTAGCACTGTGAATAACATGAACTATCATTTTAGCAGTTTAAGTGTACCTTGTAATCAGCCCTAGGGCAAATAGTATCGAGGTGTTTTATTTCCAGAAGTCTCAAAATAGGCTGGAATAAAAATTTGGGGAATTCATCAACACAGACAATGGGTCCACGTCCTGCAGCTGCAGCTGCTGCAGCTACTCCTGCTCTCCACACCATTCATTCCACAGTATAAACATGATGCGGGAGTTCGCAATTCTTAGCAACATCTTTTTTTTTTTTTTTTTTTTTTGAGGCGGAGTCTCGCTCTGCCGCCCAGGCTGGAGTGCAGTGGCCGGATCTCAGCTCACTGCAAGCTCCGCCTCCCGGGTTCACGCCATTCTCCTGCCTCGAGACTCCCGAGTAGCTGGGACTACAGGCGCCCGCCACCTCGCCCGCCTAGATTTTTGTATTTTTTAGTAGAGACGGGGTTTCACCGGGTTAGCCAGGATGGTCTTGATCTCCTGACCTCGTGATCCGCCCGTCTCGGCCTCCCAAAGTGCTGGGATTACAGGCTTGAGCCACCGCGCCCGGCCTCTCAGCAACATCTTAATGCACAGCCACAAGTTACAATGCAACAGTCTGCTATTCACGTACAAGGTCAGGAACATTTGATTGCTTCCATGTTGGCATCTGCCCCTCCTCAAGAGTAAAAGCAAATGTTGGGTGAACGGCTGTTTCCTCTTATTCCAGCCATGCACCCTACTCTTGCTGGTAAAATCACTGGCATGTTGTTGGAGATTGATAATTCAGAACTTCATATGCTTGAGTCTCCAGAGTCACTCCATTCTAAGGTTGATGAAGCTGTAGCTGTACTACAAGCCCACCAAGCTAAAGAGCCTGCCCAGAAAGCAGTCAACAGTACCACCGGTGTTCTAACTGTTTAAAATTGATCAGGGACCACGAAAAGAAACTTGGCTTCATCGAAGAAAAATATCTAAACATCGAAAAACTTAAATATTATGGGAAAAAATTGCAAAATATAAAATAAAAAAGGAAAGGAAACAGCCTTATGTACTGAGCAAATGCCAGGTCTAGCAAACATAATGCTAGTCCTAGATTACTTATTGATTAAAAAAAAACACAACAAAGTAAAATATAAAAAATTAATGTTTTATACACCCTGGGAAAAAGAATTTTCAGCAAAGTACAAAAATTTAAAGCATTCCTTTCTTTAATTTTGTAATTCTTTACTGTGGAATAGCTCAAAATGTCAGTTCTGTTTTAAGTAACAGAATTGATAACTCAGCAAGGAAACGTAATTTGGATTATAAAATTCTTGCTTTAATAAAAATTCCTTAAACAGTGAAAAAAAAAATTGGGGAATTGTTAAACGGTTATCTCAGCAGCCTCTTATTACATGTGCTCTTGGCCCCAATTATGACAATTTGAAATATGAAATGACTAGAAAGATTGAAATGCAGCTTTTAAAAAATATACCCTGCTGGGTGCAGTGGCTCACATCTGTAATCCCATCACTTTGGGAGGCCGAGGCAGGCAAATCACGAGGTCAAGAAATCGAGACCATCCTGGCCAGCATGGTGAAACCCCACCTCTACTAAAAATACACAAATTAGCAGAATGTGGTGGCACACATCTGTAGTCCCAGCTACTCGGGAGGCTGAAGCAGGAAAATCGCTTGAACCTGGGAGGCAGAGGTTGCAGTGAGCCGAGATAGTGCCACTGCACTCCAGCCTGGTGACAGAGTGAGACCATCTCAAACAAAATATAAATATATATGTATATATATGCATATATGTGTATTTATATGCATATATATGTGTATTTATGTGCATATATATGTATACATATACGTGTGTGTAGATATACACGTATATGTATATATATACACATATACACATAATATGCACATATATACATACACATATGTGTATATATATGTGTATGTGTATATGTGTGTGTGTGTGTGTGTGTGTGTGTATGCCAGCCAGCTTATTAGTATGCAAGTAAATGCACTTTAAAGTTAGTTGCCTTGGGCAGCCATCAGCATTCCAAGAACTTTATTGCTGAGAAGGTATTTAGAACTCGTTTAAATAGCTTTTAGAAACAACTTTATGAACCACTGCAAAAAGCAACCGTATTCAATTTGTTCACTTTATTTGCTACCCTTGAGATGAATCTGCTGTTTCCAAGAATTATCTTTTTTTTTTCTGGATGAATGGAGATTTGCCATCCTTAAGCATATTCAGAAATGTACTATGCACTCTAAAAGCAATAGCAAACAAAGCATTTCCAAATAATCAGTTTAGTAGTATTTAGAGTAAGTAAATGGCTGCTGAGGGTAGTACTTTGAAAAGATTATTACAGCTCCTTCAACATTTGAAGCACAGGGAGAAAGACAATCCCCACCCACAAAGAACCAGAATTTAGTGAGGAGACATGTAAATAGATAAAATAGTAGGCTGGGCACAGTGGCTCACGACTGTAACCCCGGCACCTGGGGAGGCTAAGGTGAGCGGATCACCTGAGGTCAGTTGTTTGAGACCAGCCTCACTAACATGGTGAAATCCCATCTCTACTAAACATTCAAAAACATTATCCAGGTGAGGTGATGTGTGCCTGTAGTCCCAGCTACTCGGGAGGCTGAGGCAGGAGAATCGCTTGAACCCAGGAGGTGGAGGTTGCAGTGAACTGAGATCACGCCACAGCACCCCAGCCTGGGAAACAGCAAGACTCTGTCTCAAAAACAAAATATAGATAACATAGTACCAAAACCTTAAGAAATGTACATACTGTAATTATCCATCTCCATTCAAATATGTTGTAACTGCTAGATCTGGTGTGTGTTTGAGGAGTAAAGTTTATGGGTGAATAAGGGCTCATCTGAATCTCGTTTGTTTTCTTGTTTCCTCAGGAGATAAATGTGTATTGTGCTCCTACTATTAATACGTTCTTGGCATTCTGCTGGTCTGTGGTTTCTCTTCCCTGTGTCTTAGGTAGGGTGGGGACCTGAAGTCTAAAATATTGCTGAGTTTCTCAGTGGACAGTGTTGGTGACTGTGGTGTACCTACTTCTTAAAATTCACAATTTGTCTTCTATATGCACCAAATGCTCTAGAATAGCACTGTCCAGTAGAAATATAATGCATCACTACATGTAGTGTTAAA